AAGCAGGGTTATTTCTTTATTTATCAAGAAGAAAAGCCTCGTAGTGTTCTGACTTCATTGGAATAATAGGCTCCAGAAGACACGCATGTACGGTGGAGTGATAATCTTCAAACGATATATAATGGGTCAAAAAATTAAATTAAACACTTTAAAGGGGCGGGTAATGGAATAAAATGTCACCACTATTTTTTCTTTCCTCTTTGGATATGCTTTGTGGATATACACTACTTTGAGAAACTATGTAATGATGCAATTTATTGTCAATAAGATCTAGAGGACAAACACAAAAAACTGATGTCAACTTATTAAATGGATATCATTAACTTCACTCAGCCAGTAGTGTTTTGATTCAGTTCAATAATCATCAATACATTATTAATAAGTAAGCTGATCTTAAGCTAATACTTACTCAATTATTTTTTCTTTATTTTTGTTCTTTCCATAGGTTTTATGTGGGATATGTTTAAAGGTGAGTTATAAAGCCAGGGCGTCCCACACAATGCTTGGGACCTCATGAGAGCTTTTAAGTTGTGACGTGTTTCTAGGTCCAATTGCAAACACAAAGCTACTACAATAAAGCAAAGAATGTCCTTGATGATTTAAACTCTACCTGAAACGATTTTGATTTTGGAAAACAAATCTTCTCTTAGAGAGAAAGTCATACAAATCTGGGTGCTTACCCCGCCACATAAGGCAATCTAAGGCAATCTTAGTCAATATAATCTAGATGACATAAGGCAATCTATACTAAGGCGATCTAATAAAAACATGATAGAATCTAAGGCGATCTTAGGTGATCTAAGGCGGGGTAGGAGTAGGTCTAGAATATCAAAAGCTGGCCATTAAAAGTTCTATTTGACAGACTGAGTCCCAGGCCCCAGATTGAAACATCGTTATTGTGATTACAATCTCGTTTCAGGAACAGTGATACATTTGAAGACTGAAATATCAGTAAAAGGAGTTCTACTAAGCTTAGCAGGAGTAACGTTTATTAGTATATATGGGATGGATCAAGAAAAACTGCAAAACCTTAAACCATTTGTGGACTTTGGGGCTCAAGTGGTTGCACTCCTTAGTGGTTCAGTTGTTATCGTCTTGAAACTCTCAAGCATTTCATCACTAAAACGGCTATGGCAGAGCTACAAGGGTGGCTCATTGAAAGAAAAACTGAAAAAATCCCTCAATGAAGAGGAAGAATTGAAGGAACTGAGCCAAGGAGAAGAGATAGACGTGGAGGTTACAATAGATGAGGAAGAATACCATGCAGTTCTTTGGAACCTTATCCTCTTGAATGTAAAAGGTAAGAATATATTTCTTAAAATTAAATATGGTTTTGGTTAGTTTGTTGGTTGGTTGTGTTGATTGTTGACCCTGTTAGCATTTATATATAATTGTTTCAGTTTTACTCTTAAACAACCAAGGTTCTATTGTATATACATACAAAAACAGGTAAAAACGTTGTCATGGACCAGCTCAAGCATGCACGATTGGACCGAAAGGGAGATGTATGGGTCATCATTTAAGTGCTAAATTATTCGCTCTGAATTAGTTCCCGCTCGCTAACAAAATAATAATTGCAATCAACAACCCATAACCCGGGCCGTGGGCATATTTAAAATTATTTGCTTCGGGTTTTGCTAAAAGGAAAACAAAGGTACTTTATTTGAGACATTTGAATGTCGAATGTCTGAGGGTATACCTGTACGCTATACCCCCAGAAATAGAAATGTCTGTAAATTTGTCAATATTCAACTGAAATTTTTCTTGGCCGATACAACATCTAACATAATGAATCTCTTTCAGGGTTGTGTTTTTTATTGATTAAACTCATTTCAATTTTCGGCCGCCATTTTGGCAAAGGGTCTTTTTTGAATGTTTCAAACTATTGATTTTCTATTACTTTTCTTGTTTATTTGTACAAATATGTATTACAGGTAAATCAATGAAGAATGATAAAAGTCAGCGAAGGCACTCAGTATGCTGTGAACGAGATGTCTCTGAAGACAGAAGTAAAACAGTAGTTGTAAAAGGTACCTGTAGAATATATTCATTTTTTTGTTGCTTATTGGTTGGCTATTGATTTTGATTCTTAAACAAAGTGTTTGCATTGTAACATCGTTGTAGTTTTTCTTACTTTTTAAAGTGCCACTGTGATCAAATTTCTGACTTGCTGTTTTTTTGCCTGGATTGAAAGATCTTTGATCTACTTTTTCAAATATTCTTTTTTCCTTCAAAAGATATTGAAGTTTATAAAATGGCGGCCATTTTTCTTGATGACGTCATATTTTCAATACTCGGCCAGCATGGGATTATGATAAGCAAGTTTTTTAACACCAGTTTTCTTCTTTTCTGAAGAGTACTTTAACGAATTTGAATAATAAAAATTGGAGACATCAAAATTTGATCATAATAGCACTTTAAACAACCGACTGTATGAGCTAGTTTGTACATAAATTTTAATGGTTTGAACTATAATTGCTCTTCCAATAATTCTTTTCTAATGTATTTCCAAATATGTATGTCAGGTAAACCAATGAAGGATGCTAGAATAAAGCGCAGGCACTCAGTATGCTGTGAACGAGATATTCCTGAAGACATAGATGTGAAAGGTAGAATATATTTCTCACAACGTATCGTTTTGTTAATTTTTTAGTTGGTTCATGGCGTTGGTTGTTGATCTTTGATTGCGGTACCGACACATTTCCTTTCAAATAGCAAATTAGAATTTCGTGGTGTCCATGTGTTTTCTTATTTTAAATAAGGATTCTAAAATCAAGAATGCTAAATTTCTAATTTCTTTTTTAATATCTATAAAGCGATATACTAAAACCACAAAAATGGCCAATTTTCCTTATCCAATAAGCCTCTTGCAACAACAGGTCACGTGACCCTACCCCCTTAAAAAGAGAATTTATGTGTCAAATTGAACATCAGAAATAAAAAGAGCAACTTGATATTAGTAAGAAGGCAAAGTTTCAGCTCATAATGATGACTTTTGGAGAAATGACATTAACTATATAAAATCAAATATTTTATAAGTATTGTATGGGAAATGTACTGGATGGCGAGCTTTGCCATCCAGCCCATTTTTCCATACAAATCCTTCTAAAATATTCAAGTTCTTAGTTAATGCCATTTCTCCTATGTTACATGTTATGAGCGAAAACTTTGCCCTCTCACTAATATCGAGGTACTCATTCCATTTCTGATGTTCATTTTGACACACAAACTTATCTTTAAGCAAGAACCTGTTAAGAACCTACTCTGCCTGATTTCTCACTAGTACGGACCAAATATATAAGAACCATTGCAGCCTGACTTGGGAAAATAGTGGTTCTTTTATGCGGGTCTTTACTATATTTAGATAACTGAACAAGGCAATGACTGGACTTCAGTCGTTTACAAAGTCATGGTCAGAGTGAAGCTGGGTTAACGAGAAAAGCAAAAACGACTTTGAATAATTGAGCTAATCGAGATAACCGATGCAAGAATTTAGAAAATCTGTTGTTTTCCGAACGCTCTCGGCCCCGTGTTTCAAAGTTGGTCATAAAGGTGTTTATCCATTATATAGACCAAGTTAATATGGAAAGTACGTTTAATAAGCGAGTGTGCATACTGCTTTTCTCTCAAAAACCTTCGATTGAATTCCTAAAACTTGTTTAACTATCAAGTTCGTATTCCTGTCGGCAACCGCTTTTCGAATATTTAGAACGAAATGGCTTCCCATCAGCATGAAGAATGCAATGTTAGTAACTCAGTTTTAAAACATGTTTTACTTTATTCACCAGAAATAAACCGGATAGCAGCTCGTTGGGCAGCTTTCAAAAAAGAAAAAGAAATTGCTCGTCAGTGCAGGCTGTTAATCGATGGTGGAACACGTGCCTTAAGAGATGTATTCGATTCTATCCATTCACCAAGCTCTCTTCACAGCACACTACTCAGTACAAAAATACTTTCTACTCTTAAGGGCCTGAGAGCAGAGAAGAATCTATCCGAACAACAGTGGGACAGACTCTATCCTGCTAGCAGAAGCAAAGCTGTCACTTCAGCAGATTTTGACATTACACTGTTATTTGTACTGTTGCGTAATATATGTGGTCTAACACCCCCACCAACGGGATGGGACAAGCCTCCTGCAGCTACAGACCTGAGTAGAGAAGCTGATTTGGCTCGAGTCAAATATTATAGAAATGAACTTTATGAACACATCACAGAAACAGCTGTTAGTGACTGTGATTTTGAGAAATACTGGAGTGAGATCTCAGATGTGTTGGTGAGACTAGGTGGACCTCATTACAAACCAGAGATCGAGAGATTCAAAATAGAAGCAATGGACCCTGAAGATGAAAAATATTTCATTGGAGCACTTAAGGAGTGGGAAGAAATGGAGCTAAAATTAAAATTACTTCCTAAGAGGGCGAAAAGAGATTCAGCTGAAGGTACATCAATTGAACTATCATCCGCATACTTAACTAAACTAAAGTTCTCAGATTCATCTAATTGCAAGTTATTAAGAAAAAGACTAAAAAAGGAACGGCCCGTTTACACTCCTTTGGGTGGTACCACGATTCACACATCTCCATTCAGTCCCTAAATTATTATGCACCACGCTTTGTTTCCTATTCGAAAGAAAAATGATAAACTCATTAATTATATAAGGATTTAACAGAGCCTTTTTCAGCTTTTCTGACAGAAAAATCCATGGTAAAAACGCGCACAGCCTTTGTTGTAGAATTATCTAGAGACTGATAGATAACATGCTGCACAATAATAATGCTTATCCCTCGGAAATCTTGAAACTGTGTAGGCTTGTCAACAACCATTATTTAGTCAATAATCATTTAGCTTATCCCTAATGGTTTCTTAATTTTGATTAATCGCTAGGGAATATAGTTTTTATTTCACACTAACACTTATAGCTTGCTTCTATTGAGATATGGTCAATAATCAAATGGGATGTTATTAACTTTTGGCAAGAGAATATTAAGTAAGAGAGCACATTTCTGTGCCCTATGAAATTTTTTTGAAAATCTATTTTGAGCTTCGCGACCAAACTTTATTCAATTTCACGAGAAAATGTGTTAGAGGAATTCCTTGAGAAGTCCAGTAACGGCGCATGTAAAAAATACTCAGGTGAGACAACATTATTCAAGTTCGTTTTTAAATCAAAACAATGGTGGCTCGATTGAGACTCATTTTTGTGGCTGCTGCCTCGTAGAGGCGAAGCCACTGTGTCATCGAGTTGTGTAAGCAAGTCCGTAACAATAGATAAACTTCGGAACCAATCACGGCTTAAATAATAAAATCTCCCTCTTATCAAAGAGTAAGCGATGCGACATCGAAGAGATGACGACAAATGGAACCAGATTGTTTAAGACAAGTAAGCCGCGTTTTCATAAAAGTCAACCATATTACTTGGTATTTCTATAAGGTAAAGTGAAAGGTTTTGTAGAGTGTTATTCAAATTTTAGGCCGATGACTGTTTGGCCAATGGCTGATCTCAGATAAAATAATGCGGTTGAAAAATATCAGCCACTTCGGACGATAATTGAGCCTCTTCGGAGGATAATTCAGCCCCATAGTGGGATTGATAGTATTAGTGCCTACTACAAAATAGTAGACACTATTGTCATCGGGTTGTGAAATTAACTCTGTCACGCCTATAAACTATCAAGTAAATAAACAAAGCATAACTTATACCTGTTAATCGCCAAAACAGAATCACATATGAAGTGGAAGAGACCTCAAGGGGAAAATTGGTCTAAGTCTGGGAGAACATTGTGGCTTTTTCATCGAGAAAACGAGGAAAACGTTCCTCAAAATATGACCGTCATTTTGTTTCAGTCACGCAACAGTTGAATAAAATGTATCGGCATAACTCAGGAAGCCCAAATTAATCAATATCGACATTTAATAAAAACCTATACTGAAACCTTTACTTTCAACATTTATATTTTTTTCAGCAACACCACTATCTCAATTACCCATATATCCTTCATATATCTCAATAGTCAGCTACAAAATTTGATTCCTATCCGGTATAACAATAATTTCTTATGGCAGTAACCACATTTTTTGGAGTTGATTGCAGTTACAGATGAAAATATAAGTTGTCCACAATTCTCCACCTAAACTGAAATGCAGTTAATATTGCTGCATCCCAAGAACACGTACTTCTGACCTGAACTTCAGTGTTTTCAAAATGACAAGTTATCTAATGGACATTTAGTGAAAGTAGATTGGACTCGTTTACGAAAGAGGATTTTCGATGAACTTAGGGTAGAAATAACTTAGAATAACCCCACTCCAATATCTTTGTTCTTGCTAAGGACCTGCATATCCAGCACCTCTGTTGACTCTCTTGCTAGTAACTTTTACTTAATTTGCCAGCTTTTGCTGGCTGCTTTAAAATAATGTCACACAACTTACATATACTTTACAAGGGAATTCCTTTAACATTTACAGGGAAATTTTGTTCAGTTCATCTCATGCTCATAGTTCTTCCATAAATAAAAATATTTTGTTCCAAAAGGTTGAACCAGGTTGAACCGGTCGGCTTATCAGGCTGCCTTTACCGATAGGTGAACGTCTAATTATCGATCTGTTAACATCTTAGTGAGCGAGCGAGTGATACATACGTTTCTATCACTTGATATTTGATCAGTTTGTTTAACTTTGGGATGCTTCTTCATAAAGCAGTTTTAGTCCAAATGAAATATTTATTAATTCGTTAGCAACAATAAACTCGCGAAAGAGTTTATTTAGTGTTTTTGCCTTTTTTGTCAGCAGCTATATAGAGTCAGAAGTCCAATAACTAGTTATGAACTTCTGATAGAGAGCATTTGAGTACTAATAACTTGCTGGGTAGGAGTGTTGACAAACACGACCAGCGTTTCGGAGATCACGCGATACGAATTACATGTGCTTTGTGTGAAATTTCTTCCTTTAAATACGTCCTTACTCAATAAATTATATGTCAATAGTAATATGTACAAAATAACAATTATATAAGACTCGAAATAGTAGTTTTAATAGGCCCAGCTTTGGTTTGAAAAAGTCGCCGTGACAAATCGACATTCAAATGGCCTCATGTTTCACTCTTAGTACAGCGCTTGCGTCCAGCCGTTGCTATGTTTGACGTCATTTGTTTGGCACTAACTTCGGATGTAAGGACATGTTTACGACTGTTTACGATGCAAAACCGATAGTTTTCGCGGTTCAACATTCTTGATATCGTGGACACTGGTGAAAAACGCACTGCGCCCGCATTTTTGATGCCGGTGTTTTGCTTGAGTTTACAAAATCGCAAAACTTAAGAAAAATACTGAAAACTTAAGGTTGTGCTTTTCGCAATAGCAAGATAATTTCAATTATGATACACTGCTGATTTATACAAAAAAACTTTTGTTTATACAAAGCAAAAATAATCTTTGAAAATGCATTTGTTTTTTCTCCCAAAGCATGCGCAGTGCGTTTTTCACCAGTGTCGATATCGTGTACTATGACGTAGGGCGATGCTAGAAATAATATGGCGGCGAATTGTAAAATAGGTAAAATAGACTTCAAAGATAAAAAATTAGCCAGCCCAAAGTATGAAATTATTTTGAGAAAATTTAATGTTCGTTCGAAGTTGAGAGATCGTCTCTTCGTATTTGCAGTTTAACAAAAAAATAATTGTACTTTGGGCTGGCTTATTTTTGTTCGGCATGAAGTTTAGTTAAATAAATGCTTAGTTTGACTTTTTTAAGCTTAATAGAAAGAGAGATATTAATAATCGATTTTAAAGCCTTGGGTAACCTGTGTTTTTTGACAGCTTAGGTGTGAAATTTCACACTTTTGACATGTAATTTGGAAAGAAAATTTTATATATACTGAATTTATATATATATATACATCTATAGCGATATGCAGAAATTCTGATCCAACCAAGTATATAGTATATAACTATATCGGGTGCATTATGGGTAATGGACTCGCGGGATTCAAAGCGGGATTAAAAGTACCAAAGCGTTGGCTGGCGTTTTGTTTAAGATAAGTTACCTTTCAAAACAAACTCCGCTTGTTCCAACCAGAAAAAGAATTTTCACCCTGCCTAGGACTCGACAGTCGGCGTTATTTTCAATATAAACCGCTGTTGGTTTTATGCAATTTTGATTAATACAAACGGCTTTAGTGCAATGATGATTAATATTCAAACTTCCACTCTCGTGAGTGAACTTGTTTTGCATAAAATTGCAAAGGTTTTAATAGCCTGAGCCAAAAGAGAGAGAGAGAAAAATAAAAGAAAAAGTAACCACAAAGAATCACTAAGTTATCAGGAGAAGTGGAAGAATATGCCTCTCTTAAGTAAGAATAACCTCCGTTTATCTAGAAATTATATTCAGCCTGTTCATCAACTGAGATTTCACTGAGTTGACGCTCAATAATAATAACACGGTAGATTACGAATAAAGCAAAATATACTTTCCCGAGTAGCTCATAAACAATTTTTGTACCACTTTTGTCATAAGTCATATTACTGACTGTTTTGGTTTTGCTGTCCTCGGAGTGATTGATTGTTTTAGAAGGGCACATATAAATAAGCGAAGAACGAGTTCAGAATGGAGCTCAGCTCAACCGAAACTTCCAAGAAGAGCGATTTCAGAGCTGATTTTAAACTCAACCAATTGCTGAACTTCCAATGTTTCACTTTACACCAATAAAACCGTTTACAATATGACATTGTTTTCTTATAGTGCAGAGGTATTAAAAAGTGAACACATAGTTCCCTCCTCTTGACTTTAGCGCTGTTCATAAACAACACTCGGTAGGCCAGCCAACGCTTTGGTACTTAGCTTTGAAGCCCGTGCATATATACAAGTATATCAAAAGTATATCAAAAATTATGGGATATGATCCCTGATATTGTTTTCCAGTTGTCTATCACTAGGGCTTTCTGGAAAAAATATCAGGGATGACATCCCATAATCTTTGATATACTTTTGATATACTTGTATATATATTTAAATGGTCAAAGTTTATGCAAACCGCACTATATATATATACACTTGATTGCAGAAAGGTTGTAGTATACATTTATACAAATACCTAAGTTATTCAGCATATTTAATGATATGCAAAACAGAAAACTCGCTTTATTTATTATTTGTTTCATTCAATGAACGTCAAAATATTTTATTCTCGTGTTTTACATCCTACAGATTATAAATCAATTGCTTTTGAGGGTTAAAAAAGTAAAATTGCAATATGCATCTCATTAGACAATTGCATAAATGTATAAATGTATACTACAACGTTTCTGCAATCGAGTATATACTTGAACCACGACCTTCCGCACAACCGACCGAAGCTCTTACCAACAGAGCTAACCAGGTGGTGATTATTGTATTACAGGTAAAACAATGAGGGATACTAAAAGTCAGCATAGGGACTCAGTATGCTATGAACGAGATGCTCCTGAAGATAGCAGTAAACCAATGGATGTACAAGGTAGATCATATTTCTCACAAAATATCGTCTTGTCCGGCTGCTTTGCTTCCTCGCGAACCCAGGGGTAAAGTTCTGTCGCTGGTTTTTTATTTGGTTGATGGTGTTGATCGTTAAAGTTAAAACATAGTGTTTGCACTCTAGCATTGTATTAGTTATTTTCTTTTAGATAAGCGAGGCTCGACTGAATGATATACATCGTACATGACTTTTTTAATTAATAGCTCGAACTATAGCTCTTATTTCCATTAAATTATTTACCTATGTATTTCCAAATATGTATTACAGCTAAAACAATGACCGATACTAAAAGTCAACATATAGTTGAGATAATTGATGCAAAAAGACACAAGAATTTAGAAAATCTGTAGTTTCCTGAAGGCTCTCAGCCCCGTGTTCAAAGTTGGTGACAACGTTTTTATCCATAGGGCTATACACGACTTTCAAAAATGGCCGCCAAACCCGGTTGGGACTATATAGCTTTATTTTTATCGGTACCATCGCGTCAGTATTTTATTCCGATCGAGCCGATTATGCCCGCAAAAAAAGGGTCATTTCGGTGAGTTAAACTCATCACTAGTAGATAAGCTTGGCGTTACGTGCTTGTTTGGTTATATGAGAGGGGCCTGGCAAAAAAAAAACGTGGTAACCATGGCAACCCTGTCACAACTCACTGTGCACCTGTCACACTGACGGTCTGGTCGGTGGAATACTTACCTATATATACCTACCATAGGGAGGGAGGGAGGGAAAAAAACAAATAGCGTTTACACTGTGTTTGCCAGAGGCTAGCGACTACCGTGGCCTAGAGGTGCAATACACGAATAGAAATTCAAATACACGAATACATATTCATGAAACAACAGATACCAAAGCAGTCTTCTTTGACGTTATTGAATTCGGCTCATGTGAAATTTGACGTTTGCCCTTAGTTAAAGAGACATTGCTTCTCCTCTCCTGTCGTCTCTTCTTCTGTCTTCTCATTGTTAACAATATCCACGAAGCACTAGACAGTGAATTACCAATGCCACAAAAAGATGAAGAGTTCAAAAAACCATGGGAATCAAGTGAGCTACTTGATCTAATAACATCGTCCGATAACTCTAAAGATCATCGTGAAAGGATCAGAAAGATGAAGTTAAAACTGAAAAATGATTACTATGAAAAAAAGGCTATAGAACTTAATCGTATACGAGTAATTCAAGAAAAGTTGAATGGGAATTTGCACTTTCTAAGAAGTATAACATGCTGTCAACAACAAGGAACAAGAGTCTAACGGAAATTAAACCTACCACTTTAACAAGTCACTTTAAAGATCACTTCAGGAAGAGAGAAGATATTGATATGCCCGAAGAACTTGTACACCCTGAAAGGTATCCAGAACTATTCAACGATTAGAAAATGGATATAAATTCAGATCCACCTAACAGAGAGGAAATTAAATCTGCTTTTAAAAGCTTCAATAATGGAAAGAGCTTTGGAAGTGATAAAGTACCAACTGAAGCATTTAAGTACGGAATATCTTCCAATTCACTCATCATGGCTGTATGGATGTTATTGCAAACTGTTTGGATAACAATGACGATTCCCTCTGACTGGCTGAAACTCTCTATAACCTGTCTCTTTAAATAATTAGGAAGTAAACAACTAGCGAGTAACTACCGTGCTCTGTCTGTAGGGGCAAACATCTCAAAGATTTTATCCAAAATAATTATTACACGACTAAAAGAAAGCTACGAGGAAAACATATATATCAAATGCACAGTTTGGCTTTAGACAGGACAGATCTACAACTGATGGGGTATTTATCATGCGACAATTATTAAAGAACACCGAAGGACGGATAATTGCATTGTATATTGACTTAACAGCAGCATTTGACAAGGTTCCGAGACACATAATGTATGAAGTACTGAAAATCAGAACTGGTTGTAAGAAGTTGATTGATATTCTATGGTTATTGTATGATGGAACAACAGGAAGAATCTGCGGTGATGTTGATGACTTTCCAATCGAAGCAGGAACCAGACAAGGTGGTATAGAAAGTCCAACCGTGTTCAATTGGTTCTTTGATTGGGTACTTAAGGTAGCTGCACATGAAATTGATCAACGTTTCCCTGATGGATGGGGTATTCAATGCACATATACAATTGCCAATGTTTGCCATCAACGAAACTCTGGGCGCATGAATGGAACTGAAATGATTGAATGGCTACTATATGCAAACGATGTTGCAATTTTCTCAAAGGATCTTTCTAACTTACAGGATATTTTGTATATTGTATACACGACTTGTTCTAGATATGGTCTACAGATTAGCTTCAAGAAAACAAAAACACAAGTTTTCAATGACTTAGAACTCATGAACAAAGGAAGTCTACTGGACATTTTTGGGAACGATATTGAGAATGTTAAGGAATTTAAGTATCTGGGGCATACGTTTTACAGCGACCCAAAAGATTCTTTTGTTGACAACAGAATTATCAGTGTAACTGGCAAATTTCACGATCTAAAGAATGTTCTCACAGACAATAAAGTGTCCATGAAAACTAGAAAGAAAATCTTAGAATCCTGTATTATATCTAGACCTCTTTATTGCTCAGAAGCACAATTACCGAATGAGGAAGAACTGAAAAAACTCGAAACATGCTGGTACGGCCTTCTAAGAAGGATGATAAAAAATGGCTGGAAGAGAAAAACAGATAGTGATGGTGAAGAAACTTTTGCACTCAAATACAAAAATACTGATGTTGAAAGGATAATTGGGACTCCCTCACTACGGGATTTCTTATATGATCGATATTTAAAATATATCGCACACATATGTAGACGGCCGAACTCCAAACTTACGAAAAAACTACTTTTCATCAAACCAACCAAAAAATATGCCAGAGATCCATGGATAAAGATCGAAAAACTATTAAACATTGATAAAGATCAGGCCAGAAGATTAGCAAAATACAGAAAAGCCTTCAAAGGACTTCTTCTTAAGAACTTTAATCTCGAATAGAATAGAGTCCCCGTTTCTCAGCTAATTGCTGTTAATAATGGAACAGACCTGATACTGATACTCCTCAGTATTCTCTTCCTCTGTCGTCTCCTCTCCTGTTGTCTCCTCTCCTGTCATCTCCTCTTCTGTCATCTCCTCTCCTGTCGTCTCCTCTTCTGTAGTCTCTTCCTTTGTCGTCTCCTCTCCTGTTGTCTCCTCTCCTGTCATCTCCTCTCCTGTCATCTCCTCTCCTGTCATCTCCTCTCCTGTCTTTTTCTTTATATATATATTTATTTATTTGCAACTTAAAGAGTAGCACACTAAGTGTGCTACACGAGATTTTTCTATAACATGATTNATCGTCGCTCCCGCTCTATGGGTCGCTTTTTCCCACTTCCTGATAGCTTCTCTACGCTTCAAAGTAAGCTTACCACCCCGAGAAGAATCTTCGAAGAATTCTCTTACCAACTTTCCCACGCAGTTACCAGGATGACGCATCGGCGGTAATTTGCTTACGTCTGGTTCCCTAATCTCATACGCACCATAAATAACAACGGTAACCGGATAGGCAACTTCGTAGAACAGCATATCCACTCCCACGAGCGCTCCAGGACGAGTTTGCTCGTTCAAGACAAACAAATTTCGCTTACCAGACGCCCTTATAGGATTGCGGCCCTTCTCTATTATCCATTCACCATCCAAATACTTTATCAACGTCAATTCCAAGCGGTAGTTACCCTCAGGCATCAGGTCAATTATCCTCTCAGCTCTCTCCTCAGTCATCGTTTCGTCCGTATCTCCCTCCATAAATGTCGTGAAGGCGAAGTCGGCGTCCAAATTATTCAACACCCGAGTACGCAGCTTGCGCACAGTTCTGTTCTGAATGCTTTGGATGGCGTCCATCTATATCTAAGAAATATTTTAACCCTCGTTTGCGACCCTTAACACAGCAGCAGTAAGGAAATCACCGCGTAACATATAATGGGACACGGGTTGTTCCCACGGCCCACGGATAGTACTTGGCCCGGGCAATACCCGGTGCTCCCGGTGCTCCCGGTGCTCCCGGTAATCCCTCCGCGTGTCCCCCTTACTGCTGCTCTTATGGAATCACAGGTCCATTCCATGAGAGAAAAGCGAATTCCAGCAGTTTTTCTCGGAGCTTCATCGAAAGAAAAATTGGATTTCGACATTCTGTCTAWAGGTGGTTATAACGACGACAAAATCCCTAGATTGGTATACGTAACTCCTGAATACCTTATGGGAGATGCCACCAAGAAAAGACCTGCAGCCTATACAACGTTACTGGAATGCAAAGAACAGGTGGCACTTATTGTGCTGGATGAATGCCATAAAAGTTTCGAAGGAAGTGGAGAATTTAGGTAAGCATCAAAATTTCTTAGGAATTCTATTAGAACTATAACCTATAATTCTGTTTCATCATGTCTATTTTAAAAAAGGTTGGCCTTCCCCGAGTTCGATAAACATGGTTTATGCATGGTTTATGGTTTAGCTTTAGTACAAAAATGTTTGTACCTCAAAAAAAGTGGAAGAGTATGTTAGACTTTTTAAAAAGTTGCAATGAAATACAYCTTAGAATATTCTACTAACCTACTAATAAAATTACATCACTAATGATAATTTTAACAAAAATTGTATTTTCAGCATTACAAAATGATGAAAAGCCAACTCCAACACCACTTATTGCAAAAGTATTGGCATCAACCAATGAGTCACTGATTCTTTGTGATCAAACTGGAGCAATAAAGGCATTATGCTATAAGAAACTTCAAGATTCCATAAAGACTGATAGTTACATAATAATTTTCAACAATTTTCAATATGAAAAAGACCATGGACGACAAGTTAACTGTGATCATATCACAAAGTACAAACTTGTTCTTAACAGCACCATTCACAATCCCACCCGATATGATAGAAAAAGCAAAAACAAACATGTTACCACACTCCATCACATCACTCCATCAACATCAGCAGTTGTAACAGTTCAAGAAGCTAAAAGCTCTCCAAAGAAAAGGAAATTCTCCATTGAAGGAAAAGTCAATGGTATTACATATTATATCTTTTTTATTTATTTATTTATTTACAAACATTTTAATTGAAATTTACAAGCTTTTCTTTTTTTTTAAATATATATTCATTTACAACTTAAAGAGTAGCACACTAAGTGTGCTACACGAGATTTTTCTACAACATGATTTATATTTTATGATTTA